TTTTTTGAGTAACAATCATCAAATATAATTTTAGTTTGCAGGAAACTTATTAAAGGATGGTAGAGTGAGTCAACTTTGACGGCCACTTAGAATGTGTTCGAAAGGCCCCCTAGGTATGAATGGTTTTCAATTGTTGTGAGATTATCGTTAATGGGCCATGGTTGTTATCTGAAGATTAATGCCTTTGAATGTTATTATCTACGTCACTGGCATTATAAACTAATCACTACCGTGAGGTTGAATATTATGGAATGGCTTAAAGAGTATACTATTTTCCCGTGGTTGATTTTCACTAATTTTGATGAAGCGTATTAAAAATATAGATCATTAGAATCGGCACGGTGAAATAATGTCGGTGTCAATCTGAATGACTAGTAATCAATTATGCCCTCAGCAGTGGTGGCTGATCTGCAATATTCTTTTTTTTTTTTTTTTTTTTGGACTTGTACAACAATCATAAATGGTTACCTCTCAACATTTATTAAAGTAGTTTCTCTTTATAACTTATTATAATATTTAATCTTTTGTTGTGTATGTCAAGTGCTCGACCTCGCTACTCGTTGAACAAAAGTGCCACGACCAATCGAACAAGGTCGGCGGATATCGCATTTTATTATTTTCATTATATTCATAACTCAAACGGTTCAAATATATCGAATCTTCGCGTCTAATAAATGTGTTTATTCTAGTCGTAGATCCATGCGCACTGCGACTCCTAGCGATTGGAAAAATTTAGATGATTCGATGAGCGTCGCGACTTATTGAGTGTACGGCAGGCTTTGATCGGTGCATAAATATTTTGAGTGATACTTTCACGTTCTGTTTTAGATACACAAAGCCATGGATAGCGCCACCATTCAGTCAATGGCGTGCAAGAATTGTAACGCTTCGGCCTTTTAACTAAAACAGCTGCACTTTGCGAATATGTAACAGAAAATGCACTGTGCGTTAGTGCGCCTTCGGCTCTGGCATCATCAATATTATGGTCATGACCACCATTACTTGGGCAGGCAACAACTTCCCAACAACTTCCCATTATTAAATTAATACTTTAGGAAACGATTTGGTTTAGATCAGATTCCAATATGATTTACGTGTGATTTATTATAATTTGCAATAATAGAAAGAAAGGAACACAATTACAATATAATATATACTCTTCATATGGGTAACATTCTGTTATTATAGTGCAAATTATTGTTAAAACCAGGACAGTAGAAAGTGTTTTCTCTTTTAGATTAAAAGTCCCATTTATATAATATTTTTAATACTGATGGTTAGACTAAGTTTTATCCTATTAAGTTGTTCATTGTTGCTAGTTGAATCATCAACAGCCAAACAATTCACCACCGGCGAGTCGGGGGCTAACAATGAATTCCAATTGTTGTATCGTCTGTTTCGAACCAGCACTAACATGTTCTTCCATGATGACTTATTGGTTCAAGTTTCGAGTTTTGTGACATTGCCATTATTCTGTCTATTTTTGATTCTCAATATCTTATTTAAACATTGATTCAAGGTAAATTACACTGATTTAGTGAGATTCTTAATAATCTGTATCTAGTGAATAACGTAATATATATTATATGGCGTAAGAAAACATCACATTGTGCTCGCCCTAACCTAGACCGGCACAGTCTGGGCGATTTATCTCTTTTTAAATTTAAAATTAAATAAAAAAAAATAGCGAAATAGAGGTGTTAATGCGAAATCCCCTGTAAGCGCGAAATCACCCAGACTGGACGTTTTTGCCTCGCCCTCTGTGGTGAAAGCAGGAACTAGTGTGTTTTCGTACTAGTTTTTATGTTAATGAACAAAATGACAGGCAAGAACGTTATCCAATCAGAGTAATTTGACCTTTAAACTATATTTAGTTAATCTTTGTACCTGAAGACTTCACTTCAAGTTTCTCGATCGTCAA